TTATTCTCTTGAATAGGTAATCTTTCCTTAAAAATAATGTGATGCAAATTGGATATTAGTTACTAAAGGTTTTAAGTTTACAAGTGATTAGCATGAAAAATATCTCTTAGAAAAGAAAATGTTTTTCTTGTTTTGAGGAAAACAAAAATCTACTCCCATAAAAGTGTTTTCCCTAAAAAAAAAAAAAAGGAAAATTAGGTATATTTTCAAAAGTTAGAAAATACTTTCAATGAAAAAATATCAATCAAACGCTCTAAAATAGATATTTGGAAGAAAACTAACATTTTTTTATGAAAAATAAATGCAATCAAACACGCCCTTAAAAATGCTGCAGTTGCATGACAATCTTCAAAACAAACATGTATAACTAGATCAATCATGAAATCCAAATTTATTGCGTTAAATAAAGTTGGAGGAAAGTGGAATGATTACAAAACTTTTCAGAAATATTCCATGTTTGTGTCTGGTGTAAGTATCCATTGCGATATTCATCACTATTGAAAAATTACTTATATATGTACAGTGAAATCTAAAATAATTTCATTTCCATTCAAGGTTTTTTTTTTTTAAAGAACAAAATCGTGTTTAAAATTATACTTTTAATGAATTCTTCAAACTTGTTTGAGTATTGATCACGAATAATCACGATTTTTCATTCTCTTTTGTGAATCTCGATTGCAAGGATCTTTTACACCACGACATCCAATTGGCTAGCATCCAGTGGTGATTGTCATGCAAAACTATTGTATAGAGTCTTTTTCTTGTGCTAGCAAAACTATTGTATAGAGTCTTATTGTGACTTTAATAATGAAAAACTCAAACGCTAAGGCCATGTTCTCCTTGCTGTTTTCGGACTGTTTTCTGTTTTCGATTTTTTCAAAATAGTGAAAACGCGTTCTCTTTCCCGTTTTCGAAAATGAATTTTTGAGAAAAAATAATAATAATCAACTGAAAACCCAAAACGTCTTTTTAGACGTTTTGGGCATTTCCTTCACAGAATTCAAAAACGCCGAAAACGGGTC